GTCATTTCTTCACGACAATTGACACATAGGAGAAGCACTAAACAATGTTCTGACACTTGAGGGTTTTTCTCCGAGATCTTCTGTGTCCTGCTCTGATTGTGATGATAGGTGTGTCACGTAGTACACTTCTTAAAAATAAGGTGTGCAGCAGTAGTTCGCCGTAGAGGTTTTAGCAATCAGAACATGTGTCAAACAGTCGGCGTGAAGCTCCAATCTCCAGCGCCAGGGGCTACAGCACAGGATGACTGGGCCTTCCACCCTGGAGGCCCAGGAGGTCGTGTGCGCGCGCGTGTGCGTGAGTGAGAGAGAGAGAGATGTAAGACGAGTGTTTTTTGGTAGAGGCGGTGTGCGTGAGTGTGAGAGAGAGAGAGATTTAAGATGAGTGTTTTTTGGTAGAGGTGCTGGGCAAGGCAGGGAAAAGGCGCTCAATTCTTCGGGAAGGCCCGGTACTCATTAAAACAAAGTCAAAAAAAATTGAGTAAAAAACAAAGCAATTCTACCCAGATTGGTTTCGTGCACCCTCCAAAAATATGACAATGAAGTTATAGCAAATATGGTAGAGTGGTTTTTACCCCATATCCTCCATTTTGATGGTTATTATGGAGGCATGAGGCATGTAGCGACTCTGCTAGAGTTGGGAAAAAAAACAGTAAAAACATTCAAACAATCCTTTTCTTCTTTTCTGCAACAGAAATTTGAACTAAAACCACAACAATAATTATGGAATGGGGGAAGTAGTTTTTAAGCATTTTGGAGCATTTTTTCAGATTAATGAATGTCATTTCTCCATGAAAATTGACACATAGGAGAAGCACTAAACAATGTTCTGACACTTACGTTTTTTCTCCAAAATCTTCTGTGTCCTGCTCTGGTTGTGATGGTAGGTGTGTCACTTAGTACACTTCTTATAAATAAGGTTTTTGTTTTTGAGAAATTCTTAAAAATAAGGTGTGCAGCAGTAGTTCGTCGTAGAGGTTTTAGCAATCAGAACAGATGTCAAACAGTCCCGTGAAGCTCCAATCTCCAGTCCAGCGCCAGGGCCTAAGGCACAGGATGACTGGGCCTCCCATTCTGGAGGCCCAGGAGCTCCTGGAGCCACAATGCTCACATTAAGTCCACGCAGAGGATAAGCAAGTTTCACAGCTAAGCAAACCAGTACTGCCAGTACTTACTACAGAGCATATTTCAGAACCACTTGAACTAAACTGCAAGGTAAATGACTCTTAGCACATGTTTCTGAAGATCGGTTGGACAATGCAGGGAGCACTCTCTACGATCTTACAGGAGAAGTCGATGCAGAAGCAGATCCATGCCGCCAGCTGAAGAACCGAAGCGCAGATCAGTAGTGCAGATACTTTGGCAAAATGGTGAAAACATCCAGGCACTTCGATCACAACATCCCCGATGGAGTTCACTTCATTAGCATGTGCATGCCCCTGAGAAGCATCCTGTCTTCTTCATTAAGCTCGTCCTCGTACACACCATCAAGGTAGCGGGAAGGATCGCAGTAGTCATCGTAATCTTCCGAGTCAAGCTCATAGTCAGAACCAGATCCCATATAATCACCCAAAAAGGACCCTGAATCCGCCCAGACAGGCTCCTGCACCTCGAAGTCATAATCATCAGTTGAGTCATTGGGAAGCCTCACTATGCTTATCCTGCCACACTTTGCGCGCAGGGCGTCATCCATGTTGACGTTGAAGCAATGACGAATGTCAAGGGACTCCAGGTGGCGGCAATTGTCCAGGATAGCTGTCAGTCCTTTATTGGTGAGGCAATTGCCAAACAGCTGCAAAGACCGTAACTCATGCATAGTTGCAATCCCCAGGGCTTCATCGTCTTTGTCGTACCCACTCGCTTCAAAATCATAGAACACGTCCTTACTCAGTCTGAAGCGCTTCAGTTGTGGGCATGCCCTGCCAACAACCCCAAACACACCACTCTCACCCACATTTGCACATAATGAAAGCTCAAGCTCCTCAAGCAATGGGAACTTCACTATTGCCTCTTGAAGTCCTTCATCCTCAAAATTATAACAAGAAATGAGGCGAAGACTCTTGAGAGATGATGCCCTGCAAATATAGCACTTGGATTTCAATAACCAATAAATATGACATGTGTATAGAAAGGCATAAGCATGCCATGTCAAACAGGTAGCTAGAGAGTATGTTTTGACAGGCTTGCATAGCACGGACAGAACATTTCAAAAATTCAGATAATTGCAAAGCAATAGCATCATAGGACATTGATACAGATTTAAGAAGCAATGTAGGCATGTAGCGAGAATCCACTAAATGATTAACTGTTAGATTTGACAGAAATTTCAGGGATACTGACTTGTGGATGCCTGCAATTGTAGGTTGCAAATTAGGAAAAATTATGCACTCTGGTATATGAAATCAGTTTAGTTCGTTCTATTCAACAATTAACATAATTAAAATCACTGCCAATTCGACTGTTTCACTGGCAAATGCTCAGAAGCCCAAAACAGATAACTCCCAACTGCACCCTGTTTCAAACCAAACCAAAGAGTACTTCCCCGTTGTATCAAGAAACCAATGTGAAGAACTCGGCTGAGATCATCACTACCAGACCAATGCATAGGTTGATGACACGACATCATTTTTGGGTTGGAGGAAATTCACCATTCATTTTGAATGGGGTGGGCACAGAGGAATAGGTCAATGTGCATGTCGCAGGGCATATAATTTAACCGTGTGAAGACAAGTAGATCGTCGATTATCTGAAGGTGGCTAAATGTTGTGATAAGAAAAATTCAGCAGAGTAAAACTTGAGGCAATGTGATAATCATCTGTTTATTGGAAACTTCCCGTGGTTTACCCATAAATCCACATATGCTTCTATTTGTAAGTCACCCATCCCTTCTTCCTTGCCAATTAAGTAACACCAAATTTTAAAAAGGTGCAGAGAAAATGAAGGAGTATGGTGTACCGAGCAATGCATTGTGGCAAGTTTCTTCTAGCGCACTTCGTCTTTACGAAACTAAGATATAAAAAAGTTACTGTCTTCACAGAAATATATACAAATTCAAGAAAATAACTTATGTTATAAGTCTATAAACATTGGTTAGCTTCGAACTTCTGTTGTCTCTGTTCTCTGGGCTCGTTTATGTGGTAGTTAGTGTGTGAGGCGGCTGACATTGTAATGCCCTGATTTCACTAATAGAAATTTGGGGGAACCCTGTTTAAAGAAGTCTAAAAAACATGATAAAGTGTAATACGAAAGAGGATCTATAAGCATCATATCAGGACATAATTTCTAGTTGCATCCCATGTGACCACCCCCTCGTGTGCGGCTGTATCTTCACCAACCAAGAACCGAACGAAAGTCCCTAAATTTGGGGTTTTGAGGGTTTGTGGGAGGGAGGGGGATCCAAAATCTCACTGGTCGGCGAGGTAGAGGAGGAGGTCGTGGTCGCAGGCGTACTCGCCCCAGAACGCCTCGCACCTCCCCGCGCTGCGGCGGACGGCGGCCTGCGCCATCCCGGGGAAGTTGAGCTCGTGCTCGAGGTCGGCGTGGCCTAGCATGTTGATGCGGCGCCACAGCTCGGGCTCGTCGCGGGCGGCGCCGCGCCAGGAGCGGCACACCTGGCTGGGCCCCATCAGGATGTCGACGTGGTCGAGCTTGTGGAGGATGGCCGAGATCGCGTCCAGCGGCAGCTCCGCCCAGTTCTTCGTCCCCTCCGCCGGCACCGGCGCCGTCGGCGGATGGCGGCCGCGTCGCCCGTCTCGACGGCGGCGTGACGAGGAGGAAGACGGCATCGCGCTGGGCGGCTGGGAGAGGGTTAGGGTTCTGGGGAGGAAGGCGCGGGAATGGTGGACAGTTCTTTTTCTCGAGGAGAACGATGGACAGTTTGGGGAGGAGTGGCGAGAAAATCGGTGCTGAGTGGAGAAGAAACTCGGCAATCCTAAAACAAGAACTTGACCATGATGGCGCGCGTTGTTATGCCCACCAATTTTATAATAGAATGATGAAATATCATATAATTTTTTTAAATATAAAATATAGAAATTAAACTTGCATGAACTAACCCGTATATTAGACAATGGTAAAAAATGTAATATTGTGATTGTCTCGGGAAATATAATTAGTCAAGTGATTGCTCTAGCTTTTAAATGAATAGTGTCTATGAAAGATATCTTGGAAACAAAAACATGAATAAGTAACATAGATTTAGAGAACATATATGATATTCAATAGCACAATTGGTAAGATAAATTAACCGGGCAATCTTTTTTATTTAATTAATCGATGAGACAAATCTTTTATCGTTGTTTAAAAAATAGTGTCACTTCTCCTAAAAAAAGAATTAGCGATGCTTGATTGCCATATTGGTAGACCTTCTCATTGTTGCCACGCGCACGTGAGGGAGTTAGGCAGTGGGGCGTCAATGTTGTGTGGCGCTGCGACGCCAACACGAGCAACATTTTTTTTTAAAAACACCGTCTATTGCAAAATATTTTGGGGAATACAGATAATAGATGGTGGAGATGTTAGCCAGACAAGATGGCCCGCCCATAAAGAAGACACGACTTTCACAAGATTGTGAGCCTCAACATTACTATCAAAGGCAGAAGATAATGCCCCGCTCACACGCAGCTACCTAATTTTTTATTTGAGAAACAACTTTTTTTTAGCAAAATTTAGGAAACAGCTACTTACGTTTGTGTTTCATATACACTTTTGTATGCTTAAGCTAGTCCACCGGCCCAAGAAACAATCCAGGCCCAATCAACCACAGGTGAAGTAGATAGTTCCGTGGAGCAGCAGCCCAAGAGATATCCAGGCAGGCGATCGTACGGCTAGCAACGCCAAAGCTTTCTGGAGGCTCCCAGCTCGCCCTGTTATACTGTTTAGTAATTTCGTCTGCTTGATGGGTTCTGAATCGTTTGATCATCAAGCAATCAGATGACCTCGGCCATTGGATCTGAGAGTGACACTGTAGGAATGAATAGTGATAGAAAACGTGTGCCACTGCGAGTAATTTCAGTGCCCCGCCGAGGGCATTTTAGACATTTCGCATACCCTATAAAAAGGAAGCAGCAGCAACTGAAAACCTAGCTGCTTCCTCGTGCGGTCGCGTCCCCTTCCCCCATCCTCCTGCATCCCAGCCCCCACCTCGCCGCCGCCACCAACACCGAGCCATTCCGGCGAGTTCCCTTGACGGTGCTTCCTTCCAACCGGCCGCAAGCGCTCGCGCGCGACCCCTCCTCACGGCTAGGGTTTTGACTGCCTCCAACTCCGACACGGTGAGCTCTGCTCTTCCCTCGATTCATGCCCTCTCCCCTTCTTCCTTCTCTCCGGCCGCAACGAGAAAATTGGATATTTGCCACTTTCAATACGTGACTTCTCAAAATTGCCACTTTCAAGATGGGCTTCGCAAAATTGCCACTTTGCTCATTGGCTCCTTGATTACCATACCACTTCCCTTCTTTTAGTGATTTTCTTTTTTCCTTTTCCATTTGTAAGCACGAGAAAAGACTAAACTACCCCTAATTCTATACATGTACGTACTATCCACGTTCTAATTGATACTAATTGATACGAGAGCGCACCAGCCGCCAAGAATACCGAGTGTGTTGCACTGTTGCATCATCGATCTCCTCGGCGCAGGGTGCCGCAGATGGCTTAGACGTCGTGTGCCGTCGATCTTCTCAATGTCCCTTGCCACCGATCTCGTCATCGCCGTGTGCCGCCGTTCTCGTCGCCGCGTTCATGGATTCTGGACGATACCGTATTGAGCCTTATCCTGCTTTGTTCAAAAATCTGTAGCGGTTGATCTCTCCTTACACGGCTCATTAACAAAGCACTGCATCATGTGAGTATGGAATCTGTGGAAACTACAATCGTGAGTCCTAAACTGCTCCCTGCTAGGTGAAACGATAGCCAACATCTACAGTTTACATCTAATTCTTGATAGCCTATATCTAAATCAAGAAAGAGTGGGAAAGGTCATTGTTATCTGGCATTGATGGGCTGCCAATTTACATGTACAGTTTACTATTTATCTTTGATAATTTCTAATAACATAAGTTGGTCTGACAATGATGGGAGCAGTACTAGATATAGTAAGAATGCAAAAAAAGGAAAGTGATGTGTATTCGCTAAAGTAGAAAGAGCAGAGTCGTCACAACCACTAATTCAACAGAGCTGAACCTTGAAAGACTCGTTTCTTCCTAAAATCATAATGAGAGGTAAAAGTTATCCTAATTGTAAAGGCAGTAGAATTTGAAATGGTAGAATTTCTGAATCACCATGCATCAATGAAGAAGGGAAATAGTAAACAATCTAGAGGAATTTATGTTCCTCTACATATATGCTTTGTAAAAATCTGATCGTGACTTTTGACATGTTTATGACCGCTAACCCAAACTTGTGTTCATGTTTTCTTAATTGTTTCAAGTAGGCATGACCCAGAGGCAACACTTATTTTAGAAGTCGATTGGGATAACTTGCAGATTGTGGAGACACATGATGACGAAGGTAGAATTGAACTACTGAGTAGGATCAGTTATGTGAGATTTTGGGCTTGCAGGATGAAGAAGAGAAAAAAGATAAGAGTGAACCAAAGGGTCGTAGAATGGTTGAGCAGGGTAGTGATAATGATGGTGTTGCCATTCCCGTTAGTGATGCCATACCAAATGAGCTAGTGATTACATATGATAAGGACCACCCAAAAATGGACCTTGGCACAATGTACCCATCAATGAAGGAATTTAGGTTAGCAGTGAGGCAATTTTCCATCAATGAGGAGTTTGATATAGGCACGGAGAAGTCGGATAAAAAGAGATTTAGAGGGTTCTACAAGTGAAGTGAGGATTGTCCTTGGAGGATTGTTGGGCAGCAGGGTGAAGACCATAACGCCATCGCAATACTGGGTAGCTGACAAGGCTGTGAGTATCCTTAGGAATTCACCTAAGATGGGTGCTAAAGAATTACAGAAAAAGTTGCAAGAACAACACAAAGTCACGATTCTATATGACACGGTCTGGAGGGGGAAAGAAAAAGCTCTTGCAAAGGTTTATGGTAAATGGGAAGAGAGCTTTGAGATGTTATATAAATGGAAGGTTGAGGTACTGAAGAGGTCACCTAGAAGTGTTGTGGAGATTGAAGTACTGGAAATAGATGGTAAAGTGTATTTTCATCGTTTTTTTGGTGCACTTAAACCATGCATTGATGGCTTTTTGGAAGGACGTAGACCACATCTGAGTATAGATTCTACTGCATTGAATGGAAGGTAGAATTGCCATTTAGCATCAGCTACGGCAGTTGATGGTCACAATTGGATGTATCCACTTGCTTTTGGGTTCATTGCATCTGAGACAAAAGACAATTGGACGTGGTTTATGAATCAACTTAAGATGGCAATAGGAGATCCTCCACTTCTTGCACTGTGCACAGATGCTTGCAAAGGCTTGGAGAATGCGGTGAAGAATGTATTTACCAATGCTGAACAAAGGAAATGTTTTATGAAGAATTTTTCAAAAAGGTTCCATGGCTTTGGAAGGATGTATCCTGCAGCAAGGGCTTATAGGGAAGATGTGTTCACTGAACATATAACAACAATCATTAAACAATCAGATGACATATGGAAATGGTTGAGTCAGTACCACACTCTGAAGTGGATGAGGTGTGTCTTCAATCCAGATATCAAGCGTGATATATCACTAATAATGTAGTAGAGGTTTTTAACAACTGGATTCAAGACATTAAAGATTTACCTATTGCTGAACTAGCTGATAAGATTAGAGAGATGATCATGCTTTTGTGGAGGAAGAGGAGAAGGCTTGGAGAAAGGCTACCACCTGGACGGATACTACCGGCAATTATAGAGCAAATACTAGAGGTTTGGGGCACTTGAAAGTAGTGGAATCTGCTAATTGGAGTGCAGAGGTGTGGGATAATAGTAAGAACTATGAAAGGCATGTCGTGAAGCTAAATCAGTAGACCTGTACTTGTCTTGAATGGCAGCACACTGGTAAGCCATGTCAACATGTCTTGGCCTTTGTGACATCACAAAAGACAGTAAATCATGAACAATTTGTGCATGAGTACTACTCTATGGACAGATTCAAGGCTGCTTATGGGAGAGAGATTGAGCCAATGACAGATAAATCACAATGGTCACATGTGGAGCTACCATTTGTTGTGGGGGCACCACTTGCGAAAAGAGATAAAGGAAGACGAAGGAAATGGAGGATCAAAGGATGTCTTGAAGGTGGCCAGAAGAAAAAAGGTGCCAATGATGCTCCCAAGGATGATAGCACTGCTCCCACCAATTCTAAGGGGGAAAATGATTAGAGGGCCAGTGACTTGCAAGAAATGTGGCAAAAAGGGTCATAGGCAAGCTAGTTACAAGTGTCCACTCAATGGAACCAAAAAAAGGCAAGTGTTTTTCTTTCAGTCAAAGCTTAAATTATCACACCATGCCAAAAAAATTTGTTGAATTGCAGGAAGACGAAGCCTATAAAGAACAGTACAAAAGCTAGGCCAGCTGAACCTAGCACCCCACAAAGACCTACTAGAGAACAAATATTGCTGGACAGTCCAAGCATGGTCACTAGAAGCTAAGCTGCAATGACAAATATCTCTATGTTCCGCAATGTCCAGATGGGGTACAAAAATACTTTGTCTATATACATCCGTATGTGGTAGTCCATTTGAAATCTTTAAAAGACAAATACTTAGGAACGGAGGGAGTAGAAGTGAACTTACTAGTAGTTTTACTCAGTGTGTTGCTTATGTGAGATATGAACTCACA